CGAAAGTGACAACAACTACAAGTGACGACTACGACTTGCGGAATATTTTATTTGTGATCATAAAACAATCGAAAACCATTTGCATGAATTGGGCAAGATCAATAAAGCTGGAACATGGATTCCACATTCACTAAGCGATGAAAACAAAGTCATCAAAATTCTTTGTTCAGGAAATCTCCAAGAATAGTCCTCAAGAAAGAAAGCTATGCTGTCGGTTTGGTTGAACCGGCTTGGTTAATTTCGAAGTGCTAATTTTTGCTCAGACTGTTGATGCAAATCTTTACGTTCAACAACTTGATCGAATAGACGCGGTTCTACGCTCGAAAGAAATCGATGATACAACAGTGCAATTGTTACAAGACAATGTCCGTCCTCACGTTGCCAAAATTACGCAAGAGAAAATTGAGCAATTGGGTTGGGAACTTCTAGTTCATCCGCCTTATAGTCCAGATATTGCCCCCTCTGACTACCATTTATTTCAAAGTTCACTCGAAGGCCACAAGTTCCAGAACTTTGACAATATCAAAAATGGGTCTCTGCTTTCTTTCAATCAAAATCAGCACAATTCTTTCAAAAGAGTATCCATAATTTGCGTCAAAGATGGAAAAATGTTATTGATAGCTGTGGGGCATATATTGTTGATTAATTGTTTCCAATTTATTTTTACGAATAAATTTTGTTGTTGCACAAAAACGAAGTTTCAATGTCGCCAACCGAATATTTAAAATCTACGGACGCTTTTCTTTAGGTTCTTGAGTTTATGTAAAAATTTAACACTTCATTCGTTTCATACTCATACAAGACTTTGAATGTGATTATGATTGAAAAAATGTGCCTTTTTTTGTTTGCCAAGATAACCTCACATTTGCAATAATGGAGCTCAAAAAGTACTTACTTTTATAGTAATTAACTCTATAAACGTATTAATGTAGATCGCAAAGAGCAAAAGAGCACAGCCTTATGAATTCCCAGCAGACAAATCGGTGCTAATTATCACTTTTTATTGAGGAACGTGGGCCTTCTTTGAACTTTTAAAACTTCATTCGTTCCTTATAAGACTTTAAGACTTTCCAAATCTTCCAAGATAAAAGATCTTTCTATTTTTCAATCTATAAACTTGCGAGTTTCCTTCAGGATTCAGTTTGGATTTTGTTCAAATTTAAACTCGATTTTAGGTAATGCTGAAAAAAATTCGCGAAGTCTTGGAGGTGCTTGTCGTTGGGTCGATCCTAACAGGTTAGATCTGTCCACTGATTGTGTGTACCATTTATTTATAGCCATAAGCTGATCAAAATGAGCTAAAAATTAGCTGCCAACAACCACGCAAAAGCGAGATATTTTACATTAAAGTTTTTGTAATTTCCCTAAAAGGCGATTTGTTCGACCAGCAAACCTGACATCCGAATGGATAAGAACATGGTATACAAGGGGAGTATGGTTTATCTTTGCCTGGGTTCGATCCCCACTAGGACATTTATTTTCCTTTTTAATGATTTTTCTTTGCCTTTTTTTTTACTCAAAATTATTTACCATGTAAAATAATGTAAAATATCTCGCGTTTGCAGGCTTGCCTTATGACCTTGCCTCTAAAGGAACCCTGATCTAGCCACGGAATTACTGGAATTGCATAACCAAAACTGGAGCAATAGAAAAGTTTAAAAAGAAAATTTAACTCTGTTTACTGCGTCCGTACAAGAAGTAAAATATTGAGATGTTGTCCAAACCTAAACTTTTTAGACTATACTGTAGTTTAAGCAAAGTCTAATAGTGAGTACGAGCTGGAGTACTTCCCTAGCCTACACTACGGAGAATTGAACCAATCTGATCTTGATATGACCCTAAATCCCAAAACTTGTTGGTGGATTTTTTTGAGCATTTCTTTAATATAAAAACAATGCTCCACTTCCAATTCCAGCTCTCGGCAGTGTTTTGGCAATGATCAAGTTTGATCTAATGCATCAACGTGCCCTCAGCTTCCAATCAGACCCAACTCAGCCAGGACTCCTTGAGATCAGCGGGGATACACTTTTGCGATTTCAAGCATTTTTGGAATCAGGAGGCGCCTTGGTGAATTTTGTTACAAAAAAGAATAAATTCATTTGCATCCAGGTGCTTTTTATTGGCGTGTTCACAAGCCTTTTGGCGACTTATTACTCGGCCAAAAATGATAACTTATTGCTGAGTGTTCGGTAAGTTACTGTAACTTTACTGAATCCTTAAGTTTAATGATAAAGGCATTTAGATAGCTACAGTATAAATTTGGTTGGATCTCTCAGAAAACAGCTTTTCAGGCTAATCCTAACGGGCGAAAATGTGCAAAGACTTGTCTATACGATAATTGAAATGGCGAACTACTTGTGCACAGTCTTTTCGATCTATGGGTAAAAATCTTACAACACTTGTATGTGATACTTAATGCCTCTACTTAATAGTCTTATTGTTAATGTTATTACAAACAATATACCTGAGAATTGGCCCGAGATAGCGTAAGACATCAATGGATTGGCTCAAATTTTCTGCTTTCAGATGAAATACCTGAATTTGACCTGGCATGTGGATAAAGCCATCAAAAATATTTCCGCTTTTCATAATAATGAGGCACAAAGAATCTTTTTCTCGAAGATTTCCCAAGAATCTGACAATTTTCCTGGCTACTAGTTGGACCGGTTAGCTTTCGATGAAAAATCGTATACCAAACGCTTTATTTTGCGTATTTGCATTATATATTGAGCCATATAGTATTGCCAAATAAATTAATTACTTCTAATGGGAAACGTTTGCTCCTTATAGCGATTTCTATTGCAGATGTTCAAGTAATGGCATCGCCGCCTTTATTCTCTCCAATGTCCGGAATTTGTTAATCGTGAACGCATTTTGTCAAACGTTCGTCTCATTCAGGTTTCAAAAACGTGCATTACTTTCGAAAAAATATTTTTAGTCGTTTCATGGCCGTTTCTTTTGATGGGATGTTCTTCAGGTATACAACAAAACATGCCGTACTCCAGTTTCTCATTTGCTATTCGATAGCGATTTCTCTTTTCTGCGTGTCAGTGTTTGCAGATGGTACAATTGTGAATATATATGTATTGCCAACTCTGACATATTTCATGATCACAATGGACCTTTTCACTTTTTCAAAGCTTCGAAAAGTAGGTTGAAGTAATGATTCTCAAAAAATCTAAGACTTAGCTGAGTAACTCCAAAGCAGCTTCAATGGCGGAGAGACGTTTAATGATTCAGGTTGGTTTAGGTTCTAGACATTTAATGCAAAATTGGTTCCTTGAAAATTTAGTTGAAAAGTGGTAATCTAAACTGCCTTTTTTCTAAACGCGGTTTTTTAAAATCTATCACTTTTGAATCATCCAATTGGATCTTCTGAAGAAAAAAACGACTCACAAAACGCTTTTCATTCAGATGATCGGTAACTCAACATTCTTTTTTTCGAACTATTTTGTTTCAAGTCTGATCACCATTGTACAGTATCCATTCTTTGGTTACTTCTTATCGAATGTGGCATTGCAAGTGAACTCAAGTGTCTCCACATGTATTTACACGCTTGGACTGAGGTTTTGTCGCACTTTCTCAGTCTTAACTTTGATACCTTTGTTTAGTTATATAAACATGGTATACCTGAAAAAGAAGGTGTCCTCAGGGAGTGAAAAAGAAAAGTACAACAACGCAGTTTCTCCTCGATCCGGCAAGAGTACACTGGTACAAGAGTACAAGAACTCTAACTCGACACCCAAAATCTGATTTCATGGATCGTTTTCGCAAAAAACATCTTTCAATTCAATTTATAGATGAAAACACATAAATCCAGAATCACACTCAGAAAACACACAGAAACCACCATTTAAGTTGGCGTTTGCCGCACAGCGAGCGGCGACGCCGTTCTGAAAATGATCAACTTAGAAATGAGATAAGAAAATTGTGACAATGATGTACTTTACTAATTGTTCAATTTTTTGGGACCCTATTTTTTAACTCTTAAATCAAAGGCAATATAAAATCAGTACATAGGTTTTATTCAAGAATTTATTTTTTGTTTTGGTCAACCTGAGGACAGAAATTTTGCATTCGGTCAGGTAAGAATTGTGACCAAGGAACAGACAAACACCTTCTACACGGTTCGCCCTTTTTGAAAACCCTTAATAGATGTTCCGTTTCAGCCAGAAGTTATGTGCTTCTATAGTGCCACATACAAATATTTCTTGAGTTCAATCTAGTTCAAATATTTCTTCAAAACACAATAAACCACTGGTTGATGTGAACTTTTTTAGTCAGGAGAGTCAGAAGAGTCTTTGTTTATTGGAATCAACTTCAATGAACTAAAAAAAGAAAAGTTACTAACAGGAATTTGCTCAAAAAAAAACAAAATTGGCAAAATCGCTATCCCCGCCAGATACTAAAGAAGCACCCAGGGTTTAACTTATTTTTAAATTTGTTTGCTCGAATGTGTTTTTGTTTTTTAATGGTAATAAGCTGTTTGGTAATTTATTTTTTCGATGAATTCGATGCAAATTTCGTGCAATTCAAAGTGAAAACTTTTCCAATCCAATCGCAAAATGCTTACTGTAACTGGTTTAAGAATTCTTTGTATTTCGATCTTGAATTGCATGAGTATTCAAGTTTGAACTCTACTCATCCTATTTCAAAATATGTTACTCCAAGAAAAATCAAAACTAATCAAACGAAACTATTGTAAGTTCTGTCCAAGACAAATGAGTTTCCCAGGGGAAATTCTTTTGAAAGAATTCAAAATGTTAAAACGTTTATGTGGAGTTGCGATGCGAGAAATCGAAAACGGCAGAAAGATAAAAATTCCGTACAAAAATATGTGATTTCTGTGTGAGTTTTAGTTATTAGAATTGTACTTTCATTTTTACTTTGTTTCTCGCTTTTCTAGATTCTCTCATATTTGATGCAAGATGTATTATTTGACGCAGCCGCATGGATTCAAATAACACCTAGAAAGGGTCAGTACATGACTTTCAGGAGTGATGACTAGAAGTTCACCAGGTCCGCTCGTTCTTCTCAATTCAACTTTGGACGTTCAACGATACAAGGCGATTTTGGAGAACGATCTTCTTCCATTTGCGACCACAAAAATTGGACAAGGATGGTTGCTGTACCAGGACAACGCTCCATGCCACAAGTCGCAACTGCTAATGGGACGAGTTGTTCGCCTTGCCAACGGTGGTAGAGCTCGTCTACCCGGATGGTTCCGATCGAATGGAATTCAGCTCGTATCTGCTCCTCCCTACAGTCCGGATTTGAACGTTATCGAACATTTGTGGGCGTTTTTGAAGCTGAAATTGAAGGGAAAACGCTTCAATACCAAGATTGAGCTATGGTACTTCATTCGACACGTCTGGAAAAAGATCAGTCCTCAAATTTTACAGGATTTGGTCGACTCGATGCCGAGAAGGATTCAAGCAATAATTTCATCAAAAGGAGGCCCTACCAAATATTAAAATACTCGGTTTTTTCTCACTTTTTGTTCGAGGGGTAAAGACTTTTGTCCACCGGTTTTGAGGGTTTTTTTTGTTAACGTCGTTCTTTGTTGCCTAAAATAAATCGTTGTTTCTTTTGGTTATGGGATATAAAAACTAGAGTAAAAATGCTACAAAATACTTTGAAAACAATTTTTAAAACTTGTTAAAAAGTTGAAAAATTTTGCGTTTTAAAAGCTGACCTCGGTAGGGGTAAAGACTTTTGTTTACTCCAAGAAAAACCAAAACTAATCAAACGAAACTATAGTAAGTTCTGTCCAAGACAAATGTGTTTCCCCGAGGAATTCTTTTGAAAGAATTCAAAATGTTGAAAAGTTAATGTGGAGTTGCGATGAGAGAAATCGAAAACGGCAATAAAATAGAAATTCGGTGCAGAGATCTGTGATTTCTGTGTGAGTTTTAGTTATTAGAATTGAACTTTCATTTATACTTTGTTTCTCGCTTTTCTAGATTCTCTCATATTTGATGCAAGATGTGATTCGGTGATAGCCTTAGTCTGCACTAAAACCACTCAACCAACCGCAGCCGCATGGATTCAAATAACACCTAGAAAGGGTCAGTACAGCTTCGTATTCTTTGAAATCGAATGATAATCAATTATTAATGGCTAAAAAATCCCCGAGATGGCGGTCATTTGATTGAAAATCTCTTCGAGATAACGTACCCGAAGAAAAGGTAACATTTTGTGGTCAGAAAATTGAAAATAAGATGTGAAACTCAAATTTTACATAGAAGATCTATTTTGACAGTAAGTTCTATTTTATAGTTAGTTCTATTTCTTTGCGGTTTCAGATTTGGCTCATTGCAACTCCTTATTAACGTTTCAGAATTTTTTTATCTGTAGAAAGAATTCCCCCGGGAGAGTGCATTTATCTCGGACAGAACTTAGTGTAACCGGCAATTGGCTTCGAATTTTTGTGGAATTCAAACACCCAATGAAAGTATGCTGCCAAAAGTTTTGCCTAAGAAACATGAAGGTAAAAAAACGAACTAAAATACAGCCTGATGAATTCCCAGCAGATGAATCGGCGACAATTATTGCTTTTTATTGAATAACTTTGAACTTCTTGCGCCGCGATCCTTTAAAAACAGAGTTGAAATGCAAAGTGTCACGGAAATCCTCGGGTATTTAATACCATTTTCTGCTTTCAAATTGTCCCAGTCGCACTGGATTCTCATCTTTCTTTTTGTCTTGTCCAATCAGTTGTCCGCCCGGACTGCAAATGAAACAGTCAGCTGTTACCTAGTCCAGATGTAAGAGTTTGTTTTAAGGCATTAAATCGTAAGCCTTCTGACCGCAAAAAAAATTGAAATCTTGCACCTGTAGCTTCATAAATTCGATCATATTACAGGGTGACTAGAAATAACGGAGTCGTTTTTGTGGCGCGAAAAAAATGCTGAATTTTTCTTTCTGACTCAAAAATGAAAAGGAGTATTAGAAACTCGACAAGTTTTAGATATTCTCTATAAAAATATTTTAGCCATTAATATTTTCAATTATTCACGCAGTACTTATTAAGATAGACTGTCAAAACTAAAATTGAAATTTGCATTTAGGCAGACTTAGTGGGCAGTAAAAGATGAATTTGGTCCTTGAAACTTAATGGGAATAAAAAACAGTTTAAATTTGATTTTTAGCCGTTCACTATGTATCTAAAACCTAAACAAACATTTTTGTAATGGGTTTTTCCAAAACAGTAGTTGCTTTCTAGGGTGTTCAGAGAAGATTGAGGCTGTGTTGTTAGATTGACAACAATGTTTTTATACTTAAAAAATCTTGAATTTTTGCAAATAACGGTTTTACAGTACTCTTGCTATCAAAAGGTTGGCAAAAAGGGAAGATTCTGATTCTGATATGATTTTCTCAAAAACCAAAAGAGTTGACATTTTTTTCGTTTAGATATTTAGAATCTACGGACGCTTTTCATTAGATTCTTGAGTTTGAGTAAAAATTTAAAACTTCATTCGTTTCAGAAAAGACTTTAAACGTGATTAATTAGAAAAAAATGAAAGCTTTCAAAAATATGTCCATTTTTGTTAGCCAAGATAACCCCACGTTTGCAATAATGGGGTTCAAAGAGCACTTACTTTTATAGTAATTAACTCTAAAACCGTATTAATGCAGACAATGACGGAAAAAGACGATTTTTTAGAAACCCAAACTCTAATTTGACTGTTTTTCGGCATCGTGCCGCATAACATTTTTTGTACTGCTCGGCTAGGGTTGTCAAAATTCTTAAAAAATGTCACGGTTTTTCTATTCGATGTAAAATTACACGTAGATTTTATATATTGTATTGATTTTATATATAGGTTAATATATTGTCCTGGAAAGCCAAAAAGATGTATTAAGCGCAACACTATACAGGGTGTCCCAAAAGTTTAGAAACTTTTCATAATTGGTTCATTTTTTTGTTATTGATGCAATTCTTTTTGCATTTTAGCTTCTATTAATTATTTGAATTTATTTTTGCCATCTCTGTTAACAAAAAGTGCACCCAATCGTCCCGCGTCCCCAGTTGATTTTGTACACAAAAACAAGGAAGTGCTGCAAAAATTTGATCGAATTTGAACCAAAAAAAGTAAATTTATTGTGCTATAAGAAATACAATATAAATTTTATCCCAGAAGACCAAAAATTGAAACCAAGGAAGTTTTTTTGGGCAACTTGTTCAGTTGCATTTGGATTCGATTGGAAAAGAGATGATTGGGAACTTAATTTGGATAAATCACTTTTAAAAAGATCAATCAAAAGTTGCAGAGCTGCTTATTAAAAATTTTATTTTGGACTCGATAACAGGTTACATCTGATGTCATTAGTCATTTAGCAAAACCCAGACTTTCCGAATCTTCCAAAATAAAAGATCTTTTTATTTTTGAATCGATAAATTTGCTAGTTTCCTTCAAGACTCAGTTTGGATTTTGTTCACATTTCAACTCGATTTTAGGCAACGTGGAACGTACCGAAAATGTTTTGGTCGGGAATTCGCGAAGTTTTGGAGGTGCTTGTCGTTGGGTCGATCGTAACAGGTTGGATTTGTCCACTGACTAAGCGAACTCCAATTCCAGCTCTCGGCAATGTTTTGGCAATGATCAAGTGGGATCTAATGTCTCAACGTGCCGACAGCTTCCAATCAGACCCAACTCAGCCAGGACTCCTTGAGATCAGCGGGGATACATATATGCGATTTGACGCCTTTTTGGAATCAGGAAGCGCCTTGGTGAATTTTGTTACAAAAAAGAATAAACTCATTTGCATGCAGGTGCTTTTTATTGGCGTGTTCACAAACCTTTTCGCGATTTATTACTCGGCCAAAAATGATGACTTACTGCTGAGTGTGCGGTGAGTTACTGTAACTTTACTGAAGTTTTAAGTTCAAATCTAAAGGCTAACTACAGCACGAATTTGCATAGGCTTACAAAAAGACCTTTTCAGGCTAATCCTAACGGGCGAAAATGTGCAACGACTCGTCTATACGATAATTCAAATGACGAACTACTTGTGCACAGTCTTTTCGACCTATGGGTAGAAATATTATAAGACTTGTATGTGATACTTAAAGCCTCTACTTAATAGTCTGATTGTTAATGTTATTACAAAGAATATACCTGGAAATTGGCTTGAGATACCATAAAGCCTCAGTTGATTGACTGATGCCAGTGTTGACTGATTAAATTATCTGCTTTTAGTTCGGATGAAATACCTGGTTTTTACCTGGTACCTGGCTAAAGCCATTGCTTTGAGTATCTGGATTATATATTGAGCCATATAATAGTACCAAGTCAATTATTTACTTTTTTCGAGAATTGGTTGTCCCTTTGTGAAATTTTAATTGCAGATGCCGATATGATTACATCACAATGTTTATTCTCAGCAATTACCGGAGTTTATCCGTTGTGATCATATTTTGTCAGATGTTTGTCTCATTCAAGTTTCAAAAAAGTGCACTACTTTCGAAAAAATGTTTTTAGTCGTTTCATGGCGGTTTCTTTCGATGGAATGTACTACAAGTATACAACAAAAAAGCCCCTCCTTCAGTTTATCATTTGTTATTCGATAGCGATTTCTCTTTTCTGCGTATCAAATTTTTTAAAAAATGGAATAGTGAATATATATGTGACGCCAACCCTAACATATTTCATGATAACAATGGATTTTTTCACTTATTTAAAGCTTCGAAAAGTAAGTTGAAGTAATGATTCTCAAAAGATGTGAGACTTAGCTGAGTAGCTCCAAAGCAGCTCCAAGGGCGGAGAGACGTTTAATGATCCAGGTTGGTTCAGGTTTAGGACATTTAATGAAGAATTGGTTACTTGAAAATTGTTTAGCAAAATGGTAAGTGCCTTCTGTTTGCCAAAACAGTTTTTTTGATCTATCAGTCTTGACTCGTTCAATTAGATCTTCTGAAGATAAAAAAACGAGTCAAAAAACGCTTTTCAGATGATCGGTAGCTCAACATACTACTTTATGAGCTATTTTGTCTCAAGTTTGGTCCCCATTGTACAGTATCCATTCTTTGGCTACTACTTATCGAATGTGGCATTGCTGGTGAACTCAAATGTCTCCACATGTATTTACACGCTTGGACTGAGGTTTTGTCGCACTTTCTCAGTCTTAACTTCGATACCTTTTTCTAGTTATATAAACATGGTATACCTGAAAAAGAAGGTGTCCTCAGGGAATGAAAAAGAAAAGTACAACAACGCAGTTTCTTCTCAATCCGTCAAGAGTACACTGGTACAAGAGTACAAGAGCCCTAACTCGGCACCCAAAATTTGATTTCATTTATCGTTTTTTTATCGTTATCGTCATAAAAACATTTTTCAATTCAGTTTATAGAAGAAAACACATAAATCAAGAATAACACTCTAGGGAAATCCTCGTCTTTCAATTACAGAAGGCTCAGCCATTCACACAGAAACCGCCATTTAAGTTGGCGGTTGCCGCACAGCAGGCG